GTATTTTTGGTGCAGAAAACAAGTGCCGTTATGTGTTTGCTTCTCTTGATCTTCGGCATCCATAGCGTACTTCCTACAGAAATTAAATCTCTCAGCCCAAGGTTTACGAGCATCGATATCCATATCTGCGTTCACTTGATAAATCAGCTCTTTATCTTCATCTTCCATCGCCGCTTCTCCTTTCCGGTCGCGGCAGATCAGCTCCGATGCAAAAATTTACTTAGACAAAAGTTCTAAGTCTAAGTAAACAGCTACTCTGATTCCAATGTCGATATGCCAGCCATCATGATGATTGCGAAAGAAGATATTGCTTCTGCTAACAGCCCGTCATATTATGCAGCAACTGATTATGAATGAACTCCAGTTGAATAAAGTTACCCAACCCAATGTAACAAAGGCATCCTTGACAAGCTATGCAGAAAGTGTGATGATTCAATCCAAACCTCTGATTAAATGGAAAATTCATTCATACATAGTTGTTCCCTTTTGTCAGGTGGGCTTTTGTCTGATCATTCAGCAGAAGATTTCACTCATATCTAGGCATCGCTGTAATCTCGTTTCTTATGCTTAAATTCTGCGTATGTTTCTTAGTGCATTTTTGACTAAACCAGCAACAACTATCCGTTTTAGGCTAAAGAGCAATCATTCACACAAATTTCTATAAGTCTGTTGTCATTGCCAATTCCGGTAAGGGTTTCTTAAATTGTAAGCTGCTCCAATTTGACGCTCTAAATGAACAATCTGCCAGCTGGTAGTTTTACCTGACAAAGGTTACTCTCACGAAACAGTGGGTCGTAGAAAAATTTTTAAGTGAACTGCTACGCCTAAGGCTTGAGCATGTCCCTTGTTAATTCGCGTGTACAACGATACAGCGTAACCATTATTGTTAAATATCACCATAAGATAATCTAGGTCAGAATAACCGCTGCCTCAACACTACCCGTCAAGTTCATGAACGCAACAATACCGTTCTCAGTTTACACCTATATATTTGACATAAAGTTTGTAGTTTGATACTTTTGCAATTTCTCTGTAGAAGGGAGTATCGTTATTCCGGTACGTTGTACAAAAAATCGGGGACACTCCGTACAGTTTTTGCCATAAAGGATTCTCCTCCACTAGACTATCGTACTTTACTGTCTATAAAAATTATGCAATAATTTTTTCGCAGCTATTCGCATACATATGTTTCTGCTGAATGCAGAAAGTACCATTTTTCTGCACAGCTTTAGCAAACGCTGAGATGCTGCAATGCGACTGAAAAGGCAGGTACTAACGAACCTCAACAACACACAACTTGCTAAGCATTGGAACGTCGTATCGGATTATCCTGAAATCCGAAGTGCAAAGAACCTCAGCCATAAGTACCATTCTTTCCTTCATCTCTGACACTTCAAAGAGCCGGATGATACAAACAAATAATCGTATATAGCGTCAATTTGGAAAGTACAGTGTTGAAATTCAATAAATGACATATTAAATTAACGAGTTCATTGTTCAACATGCTTGGGTATGCGAACAGCTTATCAGGTGATGAATATTATTAGTTTAAATCTTTGATTTCAGGAAAATATCTACCCGCATGAAACCGGTCCGCATGAGTTTCTACAATACTCTCTACTCCTCGAAGCTAGTGGTAAACCGGAAGCAGCCTCATGTTGTCCGGAAACCATTCCAAATGTTACACGGTATAAGGCACCGCCTCTGAGCAAGAAAATTTGACTACTTCCGAAGGGAAACAGAACAAATGAGACTCAAATCGAGTGTGAACTTCTTGAAACTAGATAATTGCAAATTATGTTGCAGCGGTTAACATAATAATAAGTTATGTTGCGAATTATGATGCAGCCAAAAAATATAAATTTACATCTCAACAGCAACGCTTGTCGAATAACTGCAAGACGACATGCCCATTAAATCTAAACGACCAAAACAGGGAAGGCCAGTGTTGTAAGCACAGTTGTTTGCTGAAGCAACCCTGGGCGATATTCGGCGATGCCTCAATCAAGTTCAGCAAATCAAAGGTACAAGAATATTCTGCTTAAATTCAAGGTAAGATTGGCGGTAGAACTTGGCATTATTAACACTTCGGGACTTAATTTAATAGATTCACGCAAACAGTATGCATGCTTATAATCGCTTAAGTAATAATAAAAGAAGTATTGAGATTACGAAGTATTACGGTCTTGGGCTGTAGAAACGTTCAGAAATAAATTATATTTTAAGATTTTAAACAAAACAGGATTTCATTACAACGGCTTGTTTCTTGTAGTCTATAAAAGGGAAGGAGCCACCGATTATTATTACAAGAACATTTTCTGTGAACAACATAAACAAGTGGTGTACGTTTAAAGCATCATCGATGCTTACTAGCAAGATAATGCAAGCCAACCATACCCAAATTTCCACTTTTTCGGTATCTCGATAAAAAAGTTCTATTTTTCAAAATCGTTTACACTTATGCAGAAAAATCATCCTTCCTTTGGAAGTTCATTCCATCAGTCTGCTCTACAGTACTCAGAAAACCAGATGACACACATAAGCATTCAAATACACCATCAGAATTATCTACGACGATACTGGCGGGAATTTCACAAAACGTCAAACCGTAGAGACCATTCCTGAGTCGATGTTGAGGTGGTGAACCGAAAAGCGAATATAGAAAAAATTCTATGCTATGGAATGAGTGAAACTTATTGTTCAGCCCAAATAAACAAATTTTCAAATGCTTGACCCATTTACCAAGGTGTTCCTTCAGGATTTCAAATTTCTATGCAGTGATCTTAATGGAGGATTGAAATGGTAAAGAAGAAGCAACAAATCTACGCTTTGTTTTTAGAAAAACCGAGTCCTACCAAAAAAGTTTTCTTTTACCTCAGTTTTCCTCCATTCGTAATTTCGCTAATTATTTACGCAATCATCAGTACAGGTTAAGTTCGTAAAAGAACGGCACACAGCTTTAGAATTTGGCTGCTGTTTCTGTAATCATTCGAGAGAAGGCTTCATTTAGCAGTAATTTATTTTTAAACTTCAAATTAATTTAAAGGAAGTTCACACTGACTATTAAATGACATAATCCAATCGACTCCTTGCAACTAGTATATTCGTTAGCCTGAACTGCTCTAGAACACCATGTTCTTCGTCAATGCGTAGATATAGGTTTGTTTAAATGCAGTACAGATGGTAGTTACAGCACGCAGTCGTGACCTGCTAAAAAGTCTATTTAAGTACAGAAGGACTTTACCGCGTAAATTCGAAATTTGTATTATAACATGACATAGTGCATGTCTTATTAATTTAAGGCATGGTACATTGATTGGACAAACAATAAAATAAGATAACGGCTGAACTACTTTAAATTAACATTTTTCTAACGAACTTTAACCTAATTTATTCCTCATTCGTAACGGGTTCAAGAAGCGACAACCGACTCTATTAACTGTTACAAGTGGAAAAAAGGGTTGAGAATTAGCATGAAGAAACCGCAAAAATGCAGAATCCTTGCATTTCAGAGCTATGAAAAGACCCTTGACAAAATCGTGAAAAACAAACTGCTTTCACTGAATACAAAAATTGTTTATGCTTACTGTGACCCCCTCCACCACACCACGTGGCTCCAATGAAAAATGGGAAAAAAACGAAATCATGAAAGGCCAGTTTTATACACCCTACATGTCGTTTCCTCATTAGACTAAACAGCGCAACTGTTTATTCAAATGGTAACAGTCGGTAGATGACGTACTGCGCGTCACCTGACATCAGCCGACCGGTCCACGATATATGAGCGACAATGCATTCTATCACAAGAACGCCAATGCATCGCATACCTGCCTGATTCACTAAAAATCTTGCACGAGGAATGGTTTGTCATTGCAGCACCCTTGTAGCAAGAGTCACGACAAACTCTGCAGAGTATTTCCAGTTTTGAAATTTTTCCATTTTATTCATCCATGTCACACGAGAGAATTCAAACACAATGCGATATAATGCTCAGAGTAGAGGCCTCGAACCTCAGCAACTGCAATTTCATTAGACCTAATAAAGTTGACTGCTCGGCTCTCGACCACAATTTACTGATGAAACGGACGATTTTGAAAATGGCCATTTTGTTCTTTCATATTGCATAATTTAGAATAACACACTGTGTTAGTATTACATTAAAAAACGTTAGTTCAGCACAACTGAACATGAGCACTAACATGATTACGTAAGAACACCAAGCTATTTCAACTATTAAACAATCGTAGCATAGTTCACTATTTACTGTTCAAATGGTTGGGTGTCACAAAAGTTATGAAAATTTAAAAAAAAATTTATGAAGTACATTTGGCCCAAATGCAATTATTGTGACCGATATAACGCTATATATTTGAAGAATCTCATTGCTAGTCAAAGCTAATCACCATCGAACAGTTTCGAAATAGCTGACATTAAACACAAAACTTAATCTGTTCAATTACTCTGACTTAGAATGTCATCATAAACCGGTAGGTGATGTTGAATTCATCGTCGACTGGAGCAAGAAATGCAATTCTTTCCATGGCCCTCCATATCCGATCGTCTGAGGGTAAAAGCACGACAGAACGTACACGCTGCATCGGTGCTAACTAACTAGGGACGCTTTCGAGCATTAAACAATGGCACTCTTTCAAACCATTGATTAAAATGTATCCTTTGCGCGAAAAGAACATCAGGGGACCACTGATGAAACCGGCTGCAGCGTGCGCGACATTCGAAACTGTTTTTGAAATATCTTAAAGAAACATGAGTTAGGAAAATCAGCACAACAGCTACCAAATCTTAGTCCTATTCTGTAAATTTTAATTCTTAGTAGAGCGACGACTAAAACCATCCACAAGAGTGATTTCTTGATAAAGGATGCTCCTGACAAAAACTGACGCTCATACAAGACCTACAAGGAATGCTGTCCAAACACGATTGTATTTTGTGAGCTGAGCTTGTAGCGATTAACGCATTTAATTCAGAATAGGCACAAGATGATGTACAATAATCGCTACAATTTAGGTAGTCAAACGATAGCACCTTCGAAAATTTCATTTGATGAGCTGAATTGCACATTAACCTATAAAATCTTGATTTCAATAGAAACATATGAAGCAAAATGTCCATTGAATGCATCGCTTTAATTCCCTATACTTCGGCTACTAGTCATTCACCCCAATTTGGGCTGGATCGAAGAAGCACAAAGCACACATGCTCGCATCAGTGTGCTCCATTTTCATTCCTTCTACATTTTCAAACACTTGTTCTAAGGCTGATCAAAACAATGGTACGACCATTTTGCTCATCATAGTATCATTGAAAATGCGTTTATGTAGGCCATACTAGACTTACACTTCCCGCTATACGTAACTGTTTCCTTTGGGTCTAGAGGAAACGTTATCAAACTCAGGAAAGTTCACGGAAACGTTATAAACTATAACTGCATTATTACAATACCTGTGATTGATGAAAAGCATAGTTACGGTGTATACACTGAATTAAGAAGTTCAATAAGAAGAAATTCAATATCTACAATCCTTTTAGTTATTCGATAGAGCATCAACGTGGTTTTGAAATTAGGTACATGTAATTTTGCCTTTCATTAAACTAATGTACATGATGCTTCCATCTATGAGCCTCATTTAGCTGTGTTACTAAAAACGATTGCTTCGGCTTTATCGGCTAAGTGTATTTAGGAAATTATTAAGTCTGTGATTTCGCATAAATATTCATAGTGCGACAGCTCTTTATCGAAGCCATTTCGTTGGATGTCGATGTTCTTTCTGCATCAGACGGTGACTGCGACGCAAAACGCTGTCGCCGCAGTCATTGCTGTCGATACGATCGTTCCAATCGTACGTTGTGCAGTTCTTTTAAAAAATCGAAATGAACGTTATTTCTGGGCCTGGTGCATGCGACCGCCTCCATCGTAACAGACAGAAACAGCAGCAGTCTGTCTGAAGACGAGACGACGTTAAAAGCAGCCAGACAAACTTCCTCCGTCTGACGGTCAATCTTTTTTACCATGTCATCCGCAGCCTAATAATAATTAATTATTTTTATTTGAAAAGGGCTGGTAACATCAGCCAAAATCTTAGTTTTGCATCGAAAGCGTGTATACCACATGTAATATCGAATAAGATGTCGTTGTGCTGTAATACTCATGAATCAACCAACGGTGCCAAGCGACAACGTACATCGTCGTCGACCAAAATTACTCGCTCTCGTGCTTACCTAAGCATCATCAAAATTCGCTATTGGCTACGATTCGCTGTGTTACCCGTATGCATGTTTTTTATTCAATATGTGCTGTGGCGGTGGCAACGACGAGGTGCATCGTCCGTCCTCCGCGCGTCAGCGCTAAGCAAAGTGTGCGTGGGCGGTCTGCCACTTCTGCCATCATTGCCACATTTTACTTGTCTGCCAACTTCTCTTTTAGAGATTTCTAATTCGCAAAGAAACGCGCGCATATCCAAGCTGGTGCCTGGCAGGTGGGAACATGTGCTTGAAGAGTTTTTCCGTCGTTGCGGCGCCGTACCTTTCTCGTTCTCGGCTTTTTCAGAAGCCAGAATCTACGTGCGCGGATGGGATTCGCAGGCGCGTCACGAGTTGTTTACTGTTTACGACATGTCGGTTGGGTGGGCGACCGGAACGCAAAGGTCATTGAGAAGAGGTGCGGGGTGGTGGTGTGCGGTAGCCTCTGGTCATGGAACAAATCGATACTACGGTGGTTAATGACAAGCTTTGTTAGCCTGCAAGAAGCGAAAAGAGAAAAACAACCCGAACGACCGTCGTCGTCGTCGTCAACGAATGAGTCGGTGGCGACACACGCTCGATCGATAGCAGACGGCGACGGCTGGCGGGAAAACGGGAGTAGTCGCGCCGCGGTGGTGCCTGGTACGACATGGCACGACGCAGATGACCGACCGACCGACCGACCAACAACGGGAGAAGAACTATCGACGCAATAGTGGCGGGCGGAAGGAGTTGAAAGCGGATAGAAGCAGTGATGATTAATAACATAAAATGGAATGGTGCGAAGAAGGCGACGTGGGGAGGTTCTAAAAATAGGAGCGCGGATGATGTGACACAAATCGAGTTGTCTGTCGCGGCCAGTGGATGGTGAGCATCATTCTTCCAGGCATCGTATATGTTCCCAAGTTCTTTCGCTCTATGATGAGTGAACCTACAAAAGCACACGATTCGTGTGCAATAATGCAGTAGATGACCACGATGAGAATCACACAATGAACATACGTACATTTGAACTACAATCAATCAGACAGATCCGGTCAATCAGACAATCCAAAGTCAGTAACGGTCACTCAATCGTTATAATAAGTGTTGCTGTCATTCATACATATACACAACACTTACCACAATCAAAATTATATCATGATTACGATCGAAGATGTTGCGACGGAAGTCGAAAAGACGCACCGTCGTCTACCCATGATTCGAACCAGCGTTGCAGAAATCTTAACACAAGTTCGGATCTACGGGTTAACAACGGTGTGCTGCGGAAAACGAATGTGGGCGCTCTGTCGTAATCGGTTGGACAAACGGTCGAGGAGGACTCGTGCAGAACATCCGGAAAAGTGATGGACGGATGGACGGACGACGGACAGACGAAAAGCGAGCGGCAGCGACGTCGCGCCTGCGCATGGCGGCTGTGATCTGTGCGGCAGGCAGGCGAGCAACAGTGCGGTGGCGGCGACGTTGCCGGGCGGGGCGCAGAACCGCCGACGAATCAGAACGCAGAAGGGGTAGAGTGAGACATAGAGAAGGAGAACGAGAGGAGGCGCGCGTCGCGCGGCACGGCACGGTGCACAGCATACACTAGAAGAAACGAAACGACGATGACGACGACCGCACGGCGACGTCTAACGGGGGTCGAGCCGGGTTGAACCATGCGGCGGGCAATGCCAGGTCAGGGCGGGTATCCGAGGTCATGTCAGGTTCGGATCGATGGTATGTGGACGTCGACTACTACTGTCCATTCCATCGATGGTCGACCTTGAATGAGTGACCACCGCCACCGCCACCACGACACCACACAGCCAAGCACGATGAGACGACAAGACGAACTGAGCTCAGCTCTCCGACGAGCGAGTGACCACCACGACCGCCAATGCTACACTGAGCCGCTGCCGTTGCCGTTGCCAGCCGCAGCAGAAGACGCTGTCTAAATCTGACGACCGACCGACGGACAGGACGGCACCACCGGGCACGGCACAGCTGACTGAAAGTCCAACAGCTCAGAGACACAGTGAGCATGGCACACAGAGACAGACTGGCCAGCAATCATTCTCCAGACGTGTTTACAAGTCAGTACCACGTAAACAAGCCAGTAGCCGATGGACGTCGCTATCCGTCGTCCATCCACCCAGACAATAACAAGCTCAGCTTTCTGCACACCGAACAACATCCGCCCGTCTGTCGTTGTGTCGGGGACGCAGACTAGGTCACTGGAGGTCGATCACGTGCTGGCAGTGCCAGTCGACAACGACGGCGGCGGAGGCGGCGTCCAGAAGGGAACAGCGCCGGCCGTGCATGCGAGGTCAACAGAATCGGTCAGACAGAAACTCCCATTCCGCGCCACACATGACCAGCCGCCATTTTCCCTCTCCTTAGTCCTTGACCACCACCTTGTCCTCGCACATAGGTTTGCTGGCGAGACAGTAATCCAAAGGAAACGTAAACAATCCAGAACGTCAGCATAAGTATCACGCTAGATACGTGCCGACGAAAGCGGAAGAGGGGGCATTTACAAAGTGCAATCAGGCAGGGACAACCGCATTTCCTCAACCGTCAGACCAACCGACCGAACGACCGAGCATTTCAATGAAAACAACTGACTACAGTATGTTTTAAATTAGAAATTGAGTTGCAGGATAATGAATAGATAATTTCTTGCTGAAACGTATTAGCGAATTTACAAGCACTAAGTTTTCCGCATTTTATTCAGAAACGGGTCATAGTACCAGAAGTAATATATTAGCAAAGCTCTCTGTGCTAACATTCTTTGTCATGCTGCTAACTTTGACGATAATATTAACGAAATAACGTCCAGCCACAAAAACATTTTTCTGATTTTAAGACAACGAACAGCAGTCTTAAGAACCTTCGGTCCGCTTTTGTCGAAGTTTATTCGTTTACACAACGAAAGACATTCCCAATACAATTTCTCTATCTTGAAGGTACCGAGCTTAAACGGAAACAAACACGGAATTAATTGGTATAACTAAAACTTATTCGATAGTTGACTAGCAACCGATTTTTTCTACCGCGGGTTCCATTGCTACTTTAAAAATGAAGAACCCAACGATACAACTCGGTTCTGCCTGGACTCGAGTCAAACGTCCAAGTTGTGC